GAGGCGTTCAGAGGTGGGCTCTCCCGGTCAGGGCCTTGACGGTGCGGCTGGGTTCGAGTCCAGCCGGACTAGCTTAGGACTGGTGGGCCAGGGCCTGCCATGGGCCTGGGGCAGCACGGGGTGCCCCAGAGAGCCCCCGCCGAGACCACCCTTGGCTTTCTCCATCAGCAGGACATCCACCAAAGGCGTCTCCTTGAAGCAGAACCGTTTCCACGGACTTCGCAGAGGCCGACATCTCCCCCGAACGCAAGCTCTGCTGAAGTCTGAAGAAGGCCTTCTCGGCCGATGGCCGGTCGAGGGGAGTCCATCCCCCGGGGCAGCTTTTCTGAGACCTCTCCCAGCTCTTCTGTCCGGTCTCGGCAGCATCTCCCCACACAGCTCCAAGGAATAAATTCTGCCATCAGGAGAGAGGTGTGTGATTTGGTCCGAGTTCAAACCCCCTCCTCCTCCTCCTCCAAGGCCAGGGAAACATTTTACGTTCTGGCGGCAACCCCTGGAAACTGAGTCCGCACCTGCCCCAATGTGCGCCACACGCAGAAACAGGCCCCCAGGCAGGAAGGGCAGATGAAGCCCAAGCCCCGGGGGGGGGGGTCCCTCCAATGTTCCCTCTATCGAGTCTTGTGAGCAAAAACTCTACTTTGTGAGCGACTGGCATTAAAGTTGTGAGCGAGTGATTTGGCTGCTGCATACATTAGCTTTCTCTGGAGCCCATCCCTCCTGCGCTCAGACAAAAAAGTGTGAGCCGGAGGCTAAAAAAACTATGAGCTAGCTCACACTAATTCAGCTTAGAGGGGACACTGGTTCCCTCTCCACACATCCCGTCCTCTGGAAAGATTATTTACAGCACCGAAGCGGGTTATGCACGGAAGGGGGTGGACAGATGACACCGGGAGCTGCCTTGGACTGAATCAGGCCCTCCTTGGTCCGGGACGGTCTACTCCAACTGGCAGTGCCAGCCCCCCCCCCCAACAACCTGACCTGACCCTTACTGGAGATGTCGGGGACTGAACCCGGGACCTTCTGCAGGCCAAGCAGAGGCTCTGCCACTGAGCCCCTGAGGTGGGAAGGGGGGGGGAGAGAGGGAGCGATCCCTCCCCCCCGGCACCGTGGGGACCCTCTCAGCCCTAAAGCCCAACGGGGACTTGTTCCTGCCAGAAACACCCCCACCCCCACCCCACCCCGATAGCAAACAGGCCAACATCCAGGGGGTTCCAGCTAAGCCACAAAAATAACCAGCCCGGCACGGGGAGGACCCTTGTCAGGTTTTATTTCTCCAACACTTTAAATAAGCGGTATATATTAAGTAGCCTTTCCCACCATTAAAAACGCAGCTGAGGTCTCCACCAGTGCACTGAATGTCGGGGGAGGGGAGGTGCTGAGCCCCTTTGCAGGATTCGCTCCGGTCACCATTATTGCCCCCGTGGGGAAGGCCTGGCCTCCATTGGTTGGCAACACCCCGAGGAACGCCCCCCCCCCAGTCTCTGGGACCAGAGAGGACAGAGGCCACCTCCGCAGCTCACAGGACTCCTAACCCCCCCCCAAGTGAAAGGGCCCCTCCGAGCAAAGGCGACTCGGCCCTGCCCCTCCCGTGCCCGGGGGCCCCCCGCTCTGCCAGCCGTGTGAGGAAGACCGCTGGGGGGAGGCACCGAGCTGAGTGGGGCAGGACCCAGGGACTCAAAGGAAAGCCACTGGGGGCCACTCGTGGGTCGTCTCCCTCTCCCACGTGGAAGCCACGGGATGTGTGTGCGTGTGCGCACGAATGCGTGTCGGAGACCCAGCCCTCTTTATTGCACTTCCGGCAAGGATTTGGGGGGGGGAATGCCACCCCCCCTTTTAACAGCACCTTTCAGGCTGGCACCCGGGGCCTGCACAGCCCCCTCCCCAGCAAGGCCCAACGGTCACCCACACAGCCCCCCTCCCCGGTTTCCCAAACCCAGAACAGGCCAAGTGCTGCCCCGGCAACAGCTGACATCTTGGAACACGCTGCTGCTGCTGCTGCTGCTGCTGCCGCCTCCCTGAGGCTGCCGCAGAGGCCTGGGGCGGGGGCAGGGAGGCCCGCTCGGGGGTCCAGCAGAGGCTCGGTGCCTCCTTCTGCCCCCCCCCCCCGGGGTGTGTGTGATTCTGCAGTCCTCTCTCCCCTGGCCCTCCGGCAAAAACCCAGAACAGGCTGAGCGCTGCTGCAGTGAGAGCTGACCTCTTGGGACATGCTGCCGCTGCCTCCCTGAGGCTGCCAGAGTGGGTCCAGCAGAGGCTCACTGCCCCCTTCTGCCCCACAGGGTGATTCTGCAGCCCTCTCCCTTGAGCCGCCAGTAGGACTGGGCTTAAGGCAATTTCAAGCTGGGCTCTGGCCACCCCAGCCCAGGGCTCTTGTGCTGCTGTGGGTGCCAGTCCGGGCACAGCAGGCTCTTGGCCTCGCAGCCCAGGTTCTGGTAGCGGGGGGTGCTGGCGGCCGGCCGGCGGCAGACGGAGGCAAAGCTGAAGCTGAAGGGGCCGAGGCAGCAGGCCGGGCAGGCCAGCACCTCCTCCTGCTCCGCCACGCCAGCGCCGCTCAGGGCCAGCGCCGCCCCCGCGTGCTCCGCCGGCACCCCGTCCACGGTGGGGGGGACGCTCAGCTCCGAGAGCCCCCCGCCCCAGCCGTGGGGCTTGCTGTTATTGTTCAGGAGGAGCCCGTTGGGGGGCCACGGCTGGACCCCAGACACGGCCGTACTGATGAAGTTGCCGTTGGCGGCGGGGGTGGCCGGCGGGGGGGCGGGGCTGTCCGGGCTGCAGTCCGTGCGCTCATGCGGCAGGGAGGGGGCGGGCTGGAGGCTGCTGCAGTCGAGGGCCAGGAGGCAGTTCCTGCGGGGCTGTACCTGCCCTCGCCGAGGTAGCTCCGGGGAGGAGGGCAGCGAGCGGCACTTGCGCCCGTGGGAGACGGGCTCCGAGAAGTCACACTGCACCTCCACCGCGGGCTCCGGCGTGATGGGCGTGCCCAGCGGGAAAGGCGAGGGAGGCGGGAGGTCGAAGGTCAAGGAGATCAAAGACTTGCTGGGCGTGTCAAAGAGCTTGATCCGGCCCCCCTGGAGGTCCTGGCGGTGGGAGAAGGGGTTGACCCGCTGCGGAGTGTCCTGGGCACGGGGCAAGTGGGGCGACCCGGGCGGGAACATGTCCGACTGGCTGCGGGAGAGGCGCTGGTCCGGGGGCAGGAGCTGCTGGGCGGGCAGGCCGGACGGAGGCTGGGGGGTCGCCGGCTCCTTGGCTGCCGCTTGGCCTGGGAACAGAGACGGAGGTGAGGGGCTCGGGCAGAACCAGACCGTGCAGAGGCTAAAGCCGGCAAGACCAGCCGCGGCCACGCCCTGCCCACGCAGGTCCAAAGGAGACCGGGGGGGGGGGGGCGGGGAAGTCCCCCCCCTAAAG